TTCCAGAGATTAACAGGAAAAACTACACATTGTCTCTTTAAACATGTTGAATACTTTATAGGTTCAAAAATTAATGAATTAATCTCAGTTTTTTTAATTATTCCAAAATATTTACAACAAAACACATCATATGTGATACAGATAATGTTTAGTCATGTTAGAATTTTCTTCTATCGTTTTTACAATGTACTTTGGTGTTTTCAAAGGTGCTTTTCAAATGAAATGTAATGAATTAATTTTTGAAATTTTTTATGCCTTTAAAATCTGAACTGAATCTTTGCCACAAGACAAGGCAAGGCAGCTTTATTTATAGAGCACATTTCAAACACAGAGAAAATTCAATGTGCTTTACAATTATCAGGACATGATGTGAAAACAACATAAAACACAAACTAAAATACACACAAATGGAATTACAGTTTAGAGCTAAAGGAGAAGACAAAGTTACGGTGCAGATTACAGTGGAGATGACGCATGATAAGAAACAATTCATTTAAAGAATGATTAGTACATTTTTATTTTTGATTTAAACAACACTAGGGTTGGGGCAGATCTGAGGCCATGGGGAAGCTGATTCCATATGTGAGCAGCACAGTAACTAAATGCATCTCCACCATGTTTGGTTCTGACCCGAGGTTCTACCAGCTGATTGTTTCCAAGGGATCTCTGAGCCCTATTGGGTATACAGGAAGGAGATCGGACATGTATTTTGGTCCTATGCCATTGAGTGATTTATGAACTAGTAGAAGCACTTTGAAGACTATTCTGTAGTTTACTGGTAACCGGTGTAGGGATCTAAGAACAGGAGTGATGTGCTCCGTTCTCTTAGTTCTTGTTAAGACTCTAGCAGCAGCATTCTGAACAAGCTGCAGTTGTTTCACAGCTTTTTTGGAAAGACCAGTTGAGACCACTGCAGTAGTCCGGCCGACTAGAAATAAAAGCATGCATACATTTCTCTAAGTCTGGTCTGGACATGAGACCTCTGACTCTTGATATCTGATGAAATTGATAAAACACTGATTTAGATATAGCCTCAATAGGTTAATAACAAGATAGATAGAAGAAAACAGGGAAGTAATCATAACTGATCCTGCAGTGTGAGTGGTCAATCATAGACTGTGGGAGTGCAGCGGTCACAGGAAGCAAAACTGAGAGGGGAAAGGACAACTCACAATGTACAAACAGGTGAAATAAGACAGGATACAAAGAGTAAAAAGAGAATGCAAATGTAAATATAAATCATGTAGCTTGTTGTGCTTAGCTCTACAAAAAACAGAATCTAAGTCCCTTTAGGACACGACATTTCAAAACCTTTCATTAGACTCGGAAGTTAGTCACTTCATCAATAATTTTAACCAGAGCTTTAAAGACGTGCAAGTTCCCACTGGTTCATGCCCTGGAGGAAATGTCATGCAGTTGTTTATTTGTTAGAGTATTTATCTGCTGCTGTCCAGTCTAAATGTAACAAAATATTACTTAGATAGCAAATGATCAGCAGTCACAGTAAAGCTCTTTTTGTCATTTTGTTTCAAGCTAAGTTATTTTAAACAAGTAACTTCAAACATTATAAAGAGCCTAGTAAATGAGCGTGTCTGTCTAAAAGAAACATTTGGCACAGTTCTACCAGTCTTCTGCTTAGTTTTCTTATGCTTCGTGTTTTTCTACATTTTCAAGCATCAGTCTGTTCCTTTAAGCTATAAACATTTGGTACATTTTTACAGCGATTTTAACGCCACAGACGTTTCATTTTCTATCAATTTGTGGAAAAGTATGTGAGAAAAGTATAAGGCAGAGCCTTGATAGTGCCCGCAGAGACAGGATGAGAGATTGATGCCATGTAGCAATGAGCAGTGCTCTGAATACCGACCGTGTCATTTTTGTCCTCCAACCAGGCTAGCAGCAGGATGGGTGACAGCAAGCTAACTCTGACCCTCAGTCAGCATTTATTTCAGTTTGTTTTAATGCTAGAGAATGCAACAAACGCCATGCCCTGTGTTCCCAAAAACGATCCAAGGTGAAAAACTCAAAATAGGAAAAACAAATATATACATCATCAAAATGTTCTATTTTTGCTTGGCAAACTCAATCTGATGTGTGGTTTATCTCTATCAGGCTGATCATTTGTGCTTTTGTTTCCAAATAACTGTGTGTGGGCATTTGTGGGCCACCTGTCTCCCCCAGACTTAGCCAGGCACAGCCTGAGTGGAAGCGTCAGCTAAGTGTAATAACGTTTGACAGCTCTAATCAGCCGAGCTTGCTCATTAGGGATCCTTGCACCAGACTGCCGTGACCAGGGTTTCTTCTCTTGGCTTTCTCTTTCATCTCCTCGCAGCAGAAACACAAAGCCCAGCGGTCTCCTCATTAAGCAGGCTTATTGCGTTAATTCAGCCCAACATAACACACTCAGCTGGAGCTGTTCCAAATAATTCCTTCTCATTTGTGTTTGTTGGGAACAGGGAGCCAAAGTACCGATGTTTGGACCCTTCAGATGATGCAGTCATGGCGACAGCTATATTCCTGCCAGTGGCTAATCCACTGACCTCTGCAAAAATCCACCTCCGACAAACATGAAAACCAAGCAAATGGGAATAAACTGAAGATTATACAATAATTTGTTAAAGATTATAACTCAGATTAGATTGAACTGTAAATTCAAACATTGCTTGTATAACCAACTCAATATGCTGGTGAAGGTTCTCAGTCATCCAGGTCATGGTAATCCAAAAGGGTTCAGTTGCCTGCATTTGAACCCTTTTGCATAACCAAAATTAGACAAAATGTAAATTAAACATAAAGTAACAGATGAACGTGTATTTCAACAGAAATATTGATGCATATGTAAAGTTTTAGAATAATATAGTGACTCTGTTTGATTTATGTCAGAAACAACGTAGATCCCATTGGAAAAGGTGTCTGCTACTTTTACAGGAGAACATTTTACATCAATCCCATTAGGAATAATGTATAGAGACACAACTGTTCCAATTAAAATAAAGTGGATCAGAATGTTTCCTTTTTTCTCCACATACAGTCAGCAGACCACATTTTGATTTATTCATTATTTTTATTTTCATTTTTAACATCTCAGGCTCAAAATAAGTTTTGATAAAAGGACGAACAACTAAGTCCTCCAGGGGTACTTCTGAGTTAAAACATGCTCATGAAATACGTATGTGGAGTAACCAGGTAGGTAGATTTTAACGTTGCAAATCTGCAACACCTGCCTCCAGAGGGTTAAAGTAAAGAGAGAACTACACAAGGTGGGTACATTTTCCTTTCCAGATTGGTGCAGATGTGTCGCTGTCTAAAGTGGGGAGCAAGGCAATCTCAAACAGGATTCTTTCATCTTTTCAAAACCTCTAGCTGAAGCCCTTTTTGACACTGCCACACCCGTAGCTTCACTATGTCTGCCTCCTCTACTGAGATCCTGCTAGATCATCTGCAGGCTCCATTTCTCATCACCAGTATTCCACAGCATCAGTTCTCCTCCCTATTTTTTTCCTAGATCATCTTCAGCTTTGCATCAGCATTACTAATTTTTCACGATCACTCAGTGTATGTCCAGGTGTTTGTCTTCTCTCACCTTTTCTGAACACTTCCTACTTCAGCATTGCCTCTTGCTTTGCCTCTGGCCTACATATTTAGATTTTTTTTATTTAACATGAACCTGACCCTATCTGACTATAGCCAACTAAAACAATGGATTCAACCTTCCCTAAACTATCACATCTGCAAAATGAGTTCACATAGGCAAACAAAGCTACTTGTGCAGTTGGAATCATGTTGATTGTGATTGCAAGACGTTCAGATGGGAACCTTTCTAAACTGCTTACTTGAAGTCAGTTTTAATAAAAACACTCAATTTTAAGTCATCATTGTTCAAAATTACAAAAGCGTCAAATTAAAGGTGCTGGGGAGCCACGATTATCTCCAGTGCTGCAGGTTCCAGACCCGTTTTATTCCACTGACAAAGGACTGACCATGGATGAAAAGGTACAAAGAAACATGTTTGAAAGGCACACTGCACACCACCACATGTGTAACCTAATGTAAACAAGCAAAACACCTACTGTCTGTGATTCAAAAAATCTATTTTCCAAAACAAGAACATGATGGATGAATCCATCGAATGGGACGCAATTTTGAACACTAATGTAACATTAACAGTGATTTTGTTAACAAGTTACTATGTGTAATAGTCCTTCCGTCATTTTTCATACTTAGGATAAAAATGCATAAAACAAGATGAAAAACTGTTTATACTGGTAAGACAGAGACCTAAGTCAAAAAAAGACACAAGTAACCTCTTTTGTTACTGCGTTAGGGCTATTTCAGCACCATGGACAGCACCATCTGCTCAGCAGACAAGGTGCAAACAGATCCTAAAATCTGCTGTCATGGTAAACTGTCAGATGTTTGCTCATTTTGCATTTTATTTATATCTCCTTTACAACTTGAATTGTGGAGTTATTAAATGATTTATGCTGGAAAATGACATTGTGCATCTGCATTGGACTTGGAGAGGGATCGGTGTCACAAAGATGCTTATTTAGAAGAAACTGACGGTTTTAACATATTAGGTCTCTTGTCTCCATTTGAAACGGTGACAACTTGGAGTTTAGACTCTGAGACTTCATCATTTGTGTTTTTCTTCCAGTTTACTGTCTCAAGTCATCCTGGGCCATTATTCTTCAAGTTGCTTCCCTGCTTCAACACACCTGATTCCATGGTTGAATTAAACACCTGTTAATCACTCGTTGATTCAAATCAGGTTTGTTGGCGCAAAGAAAGAGCTGCAACATGGTGTGTTTAGAGTTTGAGATGTTTACATTTCTTTAACCAGCTCACCAATCACATTCAAGCTAATTAATTCATACATTTTCACACATCAGAATAAATTCTAAGATATTTAAATTCTAAACAGAAAAATTGAGCTCAGATCATTTTGATTTGTAAAACGATTTGTTTTCCATTTAAGACCTTGAGGTGTTCCAGCCTACCTGAAGCTGCCTGCATCCAGCCGCAGATTTTGTACACAGTGGAGGTGCTGAGGAGGAAGAAGAGGCTGAAGCAGCCAATGCATGTGACCACCAGCATCATGGACATTCCGATGAAGAAGGAGGCGGCCTTGAACGCACCGGAGGGGATAGCGGAGAACTCGGTGAAGCTGCCCTGGCAAACCAGGTCTCTGGAGTGTCCGTCCCCGACGCAGTAGTGGAAAAGGCCGAAGTAGCCGGCCTGCGGCGTGTCCATGCCATCCCCGATCCAATAGGGCTGCGAGAAGATGGTCACGTTAACGATCCCGAACAGGATGGTGAAAATGGCCCACAGAAGTCCGATGACACGGGAGTTGCGGACGTAATTGGTCTGGTACAGTTTGGCAGCTTCTGCAGACGGCAACATTGATGCGGCAGATCCAGGTATCATCTTAAGCAAGCCCAAACAATAAATGTATTCTGCGAGGAGTAAACATTCACGACACCTTTGGTTTTTTTTTCTTCTTCTTCAGAGAATCATCAGCTGGATCACACGGTCACTGTTCGTGCAGCTGCTAAACATCTGTCGGGCGCATCAGCTCATGACGTGGCGTCCCAAAAAACCAGGCGCTGAGGAGATCTGGATGTGGAAACTCAAAGCCTGATCAGCCGTCAGACGTGCTCATCGCTGCCGCATTTTAGTGTCCTTGGAAAATCCCGACTCGGAAAGAACCGGATTCACCTGAGCTACAGCCTGACCCACATGATGCTCGCGTCCCCTTCACGGTCCAAAAGAGAGGAAGCAACAGCGAAACGCCTTAATGGAGTCCCAAGCACAGCGATGCACGCTTACGATTTAAAGCATCCAAACGCAATTACCCAATCAGAGAACACCACAGCCTTCGCTCCAGCGGGGATTTGGTATCTAAAGCAGCATGGTGGTGCTGCCTGCCAGCGACGAGGCACGGAGGGCGGGGCGCACAGATGGCAGACGCAGAGACGCGCGCGTGCAAACAGTGACACACACCTTCTGGGTAAACGCTGCGTCAACATCCGAGCGAGTGACGAAACATCAGAGCAAAAGACAAGCAGCGCTGCGCAGAGCGTCACGACATGCGTGTGCTAGAGCTGGATGACCCCCATCCCCACATGATCCAGCGTTATTACCCAGTGCGTGAAAGGAGGACTCAGCACTCAGTGTGCTGGCTTGTTTCATGTGGTTATGCAACAGTATCAAACTTTGACCTTTCGGGAAAATACGGAGAACAGGATTTATTTAATCAGAAAAATAATCCTTTCATGTTCGGTGTCCCCTAGTTCCCCAGCTCCCTCCTTTTCGTCCTCTGCGTTCCCCTCATGTGTCCCCTTGTGCTCTGACAGTGTGTCCCTATGCTTCCCCAGCCCTCTCCAGGTTCTCCTCATGTGTCCCCTTGTGCTCTCCAGCTCCCTCTACTCTTCCCTCGTGTTTCCTCCTAGTTCCTATTTGTTTGCATTAGTCCTCCTCACCCCTCTAGTCATTAGTTGTTTACATTTGCCCTTAGTCTTTAGGTTTAGTTATTTAGTGTTTTATAGGTTATGGTTTATCTTTCCCTCCATGCACGTAAGTTTGTGTGTGTGTGTGTGTGTGTGGGGGGGGGGGGGGGGGGGCGTCCCCCCCCCCCCCACTTTTTCCAAAGTCAAGTTTTGACCCTTGTACGTTTTACCATCTAAAAACAATATTACGCTATATTAAATTGACACTGGTTGAGCTGTAGGACCAAGCGGAAAACAACTGTGTTGAAGTCTGTTTCCCATTAAAGCATACTGTAAATACCCCCCCCCCCCCCCCACACACACACACTTCTAAAGTGAAAATTACGTCCATGTTCCCCTCTGTTTAAGTTCTTTCCCCATTTAGTTTATTAATGGCACCTGTCTTCCCTCTAGACCTCACTCCTCACACCTGTCATCTGTTCCCGATTGCTTCCCTCTGTGTTACAAACCCTGTCTTGTCCCTCAGTGTTTGTTGGTCCATTGTCTTTGTCAGTGTTGTTCTGCCCTCCTCTATAAACTCCAGGTCCTTGCTCATAAATGAGCTTTTGTTTTTGTAATTCAGTTTTCCTAGATTTTAGGCTTGGCGGCCTGCCCTTTGGAAAGTACTCATCATCCTAATAAAAGGACTTTTCATTTATTCAACCGCTCATGCCTGAGTTGTCTGGATTTCTGCATTTTTTGGGTCCAAACCTCCTGCTCTCAACGTGACAAATCCAGGTCCATCCCAGTTATTAGAAGGGAGAGCAAATGTAATGAAGAACATCACTCGTTCAAACTTACATCTTATTTGTGTCAGACAGGCTTGTTAAACACAGTCTAATCCTGGTTCTGCACCACCCTACTAGTTTCGCTGCTCTAAAACACTAATCTTGGATCAATAGGTGATTAACAGGCTTCCGTAGAACTTCAGGGCCTGAACTTAAACATTTAATCAGCTGGAAGCTCGAATACACGCAGTAAAGTGACCCAGAGGACCATGCAGGGCACCACAGTGTCAAAACACATTTCTGGATGAAAATCACACATCAAACACACGTTTGATGGTCCACTGTAATCTTGAGTCAGCAAAATAAATAGACCGTATTCTATAATGCTGAAAGGGTTAATGTCGGTGCTGATGCCCTGTTGTTCTGTTTTTGATTTTCTTCAACACTACTTTCCACAATTCTTAGTATAAATACTATTATTTTTTATTAATATTACTTTACCTTTATTATTATTATTATTATTATTATCATTATTATTATTATTATAACTAATGCTGCTATGCATCATAAATGATGTTACTCTGTGTATAGTTTTGCATATATTTGTTGATTTTACATTTATAATATTTCTCTTTTTTTGTTATTCTTTTACATTTTGCACTAAAGGGAGTGGCATTCTAATTTCGCTGAACCCTGTACAACAATAAAGGCTATTCTGTTCTATTCTATTCTATTCTATTCTATTCTATTCTATTCTATTCTATTCTATTCTATTCTATTATTACTAATACTATTATTATTACTACTACTAGTAATAATAATAGTATTATTAATAATAATCTGTGTTCTCTACTCTGGATTTCTGTTCAAAAGTAGCATCTTATATTTAAAATTTCCACACATTTCCTACTGAGGTACCTTTAATCTACTGAGTTGTCCTTTGACCATAAACTTTATTGTTAAATGTGAGGAACTCTGAAAAAAACCGACCCAAAATTTGATTGTGATTTGATCGTGAATGACGCATCACTGATCACACTGTCACTTAACCTTCATTAACTCACCATCTTGACTTGCGACGGAGAAGGCCTTTGTTGGTTTAGCGTCCAGAAAACAGAGAACGTCCCAACTAGTAGAAGCTAACTGTTAGCATTAGCAACCCCACCACTCTGCAGGGCTCCTTCAGCCTTGTGTTGTTTGTGGAGATATAACATCAACATAACAAAGTAAACTGTCATGTTTGGAGATCCGACCCATGTTATGCAGAACCACACAAAGACAAAGGTAAGTGATTAAAGTTTTATTATAAACTCAGGAGGCACCGGGGAAGAGGGGTGAATCTGGGAATGGTCCAGATGAATCGAAGGGTAGAGGAGAGGAGAGTAAGTGGGATGTTGAAAGAAAGAGTGTCAGAGTCCAAGCCCCCAGGCCGGGCTCTCCCAGCTGACCGGCGTCTGTCTCGGACCATTACCCAGCATGCCCCTCGTGGGGATTCCCTCCACGTTGCACCTGCGTCATCCATGTCTATATATGGAAGACGCCACACCGGCTCTTCACTCAGTCATCGTTCCACCGTGTTCCATGATCAGAGTATTCAGAAGCTAAGACAGTTAAACCTCCACCTTTCTAACTCAGACCTCATCCTTCCGTCAGCCTTTTCAGCACCGCTTGCAGCCAGCAGTCTCTAATAAAAGCTCTTACTCCCAAACCCAGTCTTCGAGTCTGACAGGATGACTGAGTCCATTAATCCAGCGGAGTTCGAGCAGATTAATAGGAAGTTGGAGCAGGTTGTTAGCGAGAACTTTCAGCTCCACGCCCTGGTCGACCAGCTTAACACCAGGCTGAACTCCCAGACCGATCTCTCCCTGCAGATGTCTACTGCCGTCACGGCACTCCAGCAGCAGGTTCATGCGCTCCAGTTGCAAGCCCTCACTCCACCGACGGGAGAGCCACACTTCAGTCTCCCGGAGAAGTGGAATGGAGAGACGGGGAGTCTGCTTGCTACCCTCGACATGCAGTTCGAGGGCCACCCAGGACGCTTCCCCACTGCGCGCTCTCGGGTGGCACAGCTCACCTCCCTGCTCTCCGGACGCGTGGCAGAGTGGGCTGCTGCGCTCTACAACTCCAAATCACCGGAGTGCAGTGACTACGCTGCATTCGTGGCCGCTCTCAGAAAGACTTTTGTTCCGCCCAGCAGCGAAATGGGGGCAGAGACACGACTCCTAAAACTCCGCCAGAAGGAGCGCTCTGTGTGCGCATATGCGTCGGAGTTCCACACCATCTCCGCCAAGCTGCGGTGGGATGACTCTGCCCTCCGAGCCGTCTTTTTGGAGGGACTGGCAACCTACATCCGGGATGAGATGGCGGGAAAGGAGCTACCCCAGACCCTGGATGAAGTTGTGGACCTGGCGTTGCGCATGGATCAGCGGGTTTTGGTTCGGCCCAAGTCTCTCATTCGCCCATCCAGGGCGCCTGGACCTTTTCCTCGTCCCCCCACACCTACTCCCGGACCCGTTGCCACTGAGGAGCCCATGCAACTGGGCCACCTTCCTCCGGAGGAGAGACAGCAACGGTGGCGCGAGGGCCTCTGCGCCTATTGTGGTTCCCCCGACCACAGACGCATGAACTGCCCCCTCCGTTCGGGAAACGAAGGAACCCACTGAGTCTCGGGGTCGCTCAGCCGGGGTCAACTCCAACCCCTGCCCTTTCCAATCGGCTCCTTCTGCACGTCACCCTCCAATATGGCGAGACCTCGCTCCAGATGCACGCGCTGGTGGACTCGGGGGCTGCTGACAATTTTATGGATGTGGATCTGGCTGAACGCCTACGGATCCCCACTACCCCCTTGGAGAGGGTTGTACCAGTGACCACGGTGGACGGCAGGCCCCTCCAGCCTTACCCTGTCCAAAACCGAACGCAGTCCCTCCAGATGACAGTCCAGGGTCACCGGGAGACCCTCCATTTCCTGATTATCCATGCTCCCTCCTCTCCTCTAATCCTGGGGTTTCCCTGGCTCCGCCTCCACGACCCACGGATCTCCTGGTCCCAAGCTCACCTTCTGGAATGGGGGGCCCAGTGCCGGACCCTCTCCTCCTCCACCTCGACCTGACTGCTCGGAAGGTGGCTCCGGTTCAGCGCCACCCAATCTGCCACCGCCCTATCAGGATCAGGCCGCAGTGTTCGATAAGCAGCGAGCCACCGCACTGCCGCCTCACCGTCCATACGACATGGAGATCAAGCTCCAGCCAGGAACCATTCCACCCCGGGGGCGCCTTTTTTCTCTCTCCCCCGCCGAATCCAGAGCTATGGAGGACTATATCGACCAGGCCCTCCAGCAGGGCTTCATCCGACCCTCGTCGTCCCCAGGTGCTGCAGGCTTCTTCTTTGTGAGGAAAAAGGAGGGTGATCTCCGCCCCTGTATTGACTACAGAGGACTGAACAAGATCACAGTCAGAGATCGCCATCCTCTGCCGCTCCTCACGTCCGCCCTGGATGCCGTCTCCCAGGCGCGGATTTTCACCAAGCTGGACCTCCGGAGCGCCTACAACCTGGTCCGTATCAAAGCTGGAGATGAGTGGAAGACGGCATTCATCACCCCCACCGGTCACTGGGAGTACCAGGTCATGCCCTTCGGACTGTGCAATAGCCCCGCCGTTTTCCAACGCTTCATCAATGATGTCCTCCGTGACACGTTGGGACGGTG